TTTTTTTTTTTTTTTTTTTTTTTTTTTTTTTTTTTTTTTTTTTTTTTTTTTTTTTTTTTTTTTTTTTTGAGTTTTGTGGCTTCTATTCCTTTGTATTATTTTGATAAGAATCTACAGCAGGAAAGTTAATAAAATAAGGAACGTTTTTTAAAAAATAAAAAATTTACCGACCTCTCAAGCGCCCTAGGGCGCACGTGTCAAAATTGGTATCTTGACAAAATCAGTGTCGTTTCACTACGGACATCATCCAAATTGCGGTGCTTTAGAAAAATAATTTCCGTTTGGTCGTATCCGTAGCCGGAAAGTTGGCCAGTTGAGTCTGGCCGAAAGAACGGCCAGTTGAGGCGCGGTAAACACCCTCCAACGCGCCTCTTGGACCCTGCAGTGAACTCGAGCCTCTTGCTGCCAACACAGGGTTGCGAATAATTAATCCCAGCTGGAAATTAACCTGACCTGACTCTTCGGACCAAAATTTTGGTCATTTCACCGGATCTCTGAGGCTTTGGCCGTAAACTACCATTTTCAGGGGAAAGGTAAATCTGCTTACCGGGCGCGTCTGTGGGTTCGGCTCCTTTTAGCATTGTCGACCTAATTTCGCCGGCTATTCCTGAAGCTTACATTTTTCTTTCTCATACAGACAACTTGACTTATGTGTCTACACCTCTTGTTTTCGCTTTTTTAACGAAAGGATTAGTCTTCTTGAGGGAAAATATCCAAAACCATCGTTGAAGAGTTGCTTACAACCGTTCAGGACACTGTGTAGCCGGAGCTTTCATGTTTCGATCTCATTCTTGTCTTCAGTCCTCTTTTTGGACTAGAGAGTTGGGATCATGGGTTTTTATTTTTTTTTTTAAAGTTTACGATTACGAACCAAAGGCGCCCTGCTTGAGAGATCGGTAAAAATAATTTTTAATTTTTTGGAGAAAATTTTCCTCATTTTTTACACCTCATAGCACGTTTTGAGACTTGGGGACCTGAAATTTTCTCAAATTTCAAAAATAAGGGACACTGAGGCTGAAATGGGTGAAAATAGGGGGGGGGCGGCCCTCCACACAATTCTGCTCGAACCCTTCCAAAAAAAAAAAACCAAAAGCCAAGATACTAATTAGTCTTGAGGTAAAAGGCATAGGGAATGTAATAAAACTTAACAGTGTTATGTTTTGAATGAACTAAAACCCACAGTAAGATATGATATATGTTTAAAACAAGTCAGCAAAATTTCTGTCATCTGTAATATTTAATTCCATTTAATTTGCCATTGATAATGGCTCAAACATTTTCTCGAGACCTTCCAATTTTCAAAAATTTGCCGCGGAGGCCTCCCAGTTCCCCCTCAGCCCAAATTCTATATCCCCCTGTGCCCCCTCCCACAGAAAATTCCTCGTTCCGCCCATGTAAGGGACACCCTAGGGAGAGGGAGAGATTTGACGAAGTCATTATTATTTTTCCTTCAGATTTTCAGACACTTTTAATCTAATTACAAAGAAAATCCTCTAATAAATTAGAAGAGCAGTACCTATTGACAAAATTTCCAAGATATTAGTGATTTTCTAAAGGAAATTTGGCATCGTCTGAAGGCTCATACGGCGGTTTTCCTTGGCAGTATACTAAGCGGTATTTTCAGGGACGGTCTTCTAAACGGCAATTTGACACCAGTGGCTTTGATTTCGTTAGGTTATTATTTGGCCCACTACACTCATCTGTCTGACCGATTCAGTGCAGTGCAGTTGCTGGACGTCCGCGTCGATATCGCATCGCGCAGATAGCGAAAGACGCGATCTATGCATGGGATTCCTGATTCCCCTGATTGCCGCGCGCCGCGACGACACCTATTTATGTCCCCC